TTTTATTGAAATTATTTATTGAAGTCTCCAATGATAACCAGATTAGTTGCCATCGAGTTTATTCCTACTCTTGGCTACCCTAGTGTTTCAAAGTAAAATTGTGCTCCATAGGAATTTCAATGCCTGATTTTTTTGGAAGGGGATCGCCAAGCCTTTGTTCTCGGGATCTGCCTGAGATGGAAACCACAAGGAAAGCCCAAATCTGCCTTCAGTTTTGCAATCCCGTTAGACGAAGGCGGGAGGGCACCCCCAGGGGGCGGGGCCAGAGTGCAGAGGGGTGGAGTTGGATTGAGGCTGAACTAGGCGAGGCGGGGTGACGCAGAAACGCCTGCAGAGCGCACAGGGCGGGGGCGGGCACAGTGTGCAGAGGAATGAATGGGTTATGGTGAGCGCAGAGCCAGCCAACAGTGAGGGGAAATGTACCGGCCAAGGCCGCTCTTGGAGGGGTAGGGGCGGGGTTACAGTTCGAAGGGGCGAGGCATGCATGGGGCGGGTGGGGGCAACGGAGCAGGGGATGGAGCGTGCTGGGCGTGCCGGCACGCGGCGGGGGTGGAGTCAATATAAAGCAGCATGTGGCGAGAGCGAAGTCACTCAGTGTGGAGAGGCGGAGACTGAGTGTGGTGGGCGGGGCGTGGAGTCTCCGAGCCTTGAGGGGAAGGTAGGAGGCGTGGCCACATGCGGTGGAGCCGGGAGGAGGCGCGGGCGCACGTGGCGGGGCGGGGCCTCAGTCAACTGTCGTCGCGTGGTGGGTGCAGGTGGCGGAGCGTGACGAGTAGAAGGAAGGTGCTGAGGCGAAGGCGCTCAGGTGCGCGGCTACAGCGAGGACGGCTGAGGTGAAGCGAATCCGTCGTGCGCGGCACGGGTTCTGACAGGACTGCCACCAGGCTTCGGACCCCTGACGAACGAACGAAGGAACGAACATTCGGGGTCCGGCGAAGCAGTCATTCCTGTAGGCGTCGAGTCTTAAAATTTCTTTTTTTTTTTCTCGAAAGAAAACGTATTTTCAATCGATTTAAAATGGACTCCTTACAACCTAAGAGTGCTTTTCATCTCAGCCGTAGAACGGGCTGATGACTTAGAAGCCTGTTCCAGAACGTTCCAGGCACCCGCCCAAGTGCGGGAGGAAACTTCTCCGTCGGGCCCCTCGGTGTCTCCTCTTCCGGTCTATGGGACATAGACCACCACTTGGTTGGGGACCCTGCATGGGCTCTCCCGATGCTACGTTTGCAGTGACCCCCTTCAGTTGGGTTTCTTGAGGTAGCCAGGAGGGAACCCCGCTTCCGCCCCAGGCAGTCACTGTCCCGCGAGGGGGCGGGAGGAGAAAGTTCCAGAAACGTCACGGAGCTCTCGGACCCTCGTGGGTGGGCCCCGCCCGCCAGCCAGCAGTCAGGCCCGGTGATTGGTTCCCGGGACAGCTGCATGGTGCATGCGCAGTTCGCTATGACTGCTGCTGGCTAGAGGAGCTTGGGGTCTGCTCAGGGGGCTGTGGGAAGGGTGGCAACAGGGGAGCGACGCAATTTAAAGATGGGACAGAGGGTTCCCATGAGCGGGCAGGACTGGGTAAAGGAGAGGACGCGTGCTCCCCAGGACTAGGGCTCAGGGGGCGCCTGCAGGCAGGGGCAGAAGTGGAGCTCTGAGGCGAGCGGACCCCCCCACAGCCCTACTTGGCGCTTTCCTTTGTTTATAAAGGTTGTCAAGCCAATTCGGCCTCATAGCCAGCCTGTATACAGTTTCCGGGAAGCAGCTGGTGGGTTTGAACCGCCAACCTTGCAGTTCAATCTAAGCTTGCGGTCCAGTGCCCCACCAGGACTCCTGGTTCTGGGCAAAAGTCAGCACAGTTTGTACTGGCTGCTGGGACCTTGCCATGCCCTGGTGAAACCTAAACAGGGACAGGAAGGAACTGAGTGGGACTAGCCTGGCCAGATTGGGCTCTGGGCCAGACATGAGTCTGCCCTTCAGAAGCTGGAGGAAGGGTCAGAGGGCAATTCCCTGGGGGTGGGGGCTCACATGAGCGGTGTAGGGCCAGCCCCATAGCAGGCACCCTTCCACTGTACCTGTCATATTACCACCGTGCTCACCTGAAACTTAACTCATTTCCCTCCTGCCTGATAGAAGACTTGGATCTGCCATCTTGAAGTGGTTACATCTGGTCCCACATTTGGCCCTTTATTGGCCTGATATATGTGCCAGTCTGTCCACATATGTGGACTGAGTGAGCTAGGTATAAACCAGGTCATTGCAGAATTCCAGGTGAGGGGTGACAGGTATGGGTTGGGAGATGGCATTGAAAATGGAGAAATGGATACATATTTAAAATATTATACTTTAAAAGTAGAAAGGAAGGTAGTTGCTGATGAATGATGTCATCTTTGTATTACTGCACTGAACTCTATTTTATGTGAAATTTGTATTTCTCAAAATGTCCAGGTGGAGAAGAAGCAAGTCACTAGGTTTCTCGTGCTCGGGTGCTACAGTATATAAGTATATGGACTTCGAATTGCATTAGAAATTGAAGGAGTGTCAAAGAGATCGTATCACTTATACCAGTAACCAAACAACAGAGAGATGCTAAGAGGTAAAAATGTGAAGAAGTCATTTAATATGTAGATGTTTTGTGTTTTTATACAAAATCCAGTCACTGAGTAATGCATCTTCTTCAGTCTCAAGTGACGAACACTACGTAGGCTACCAGTCATATTTGTTGACTGAGTGGATGGATGACTCGGTCTACTTTGACAGGCATTTTCTAGAGTGAAGTTGCACAGAGCGCTAGGTCAAACCAGGCAAAAGAGTAATACACTTAGCGTGGTTTCTTCCCAATCCCTCCTGGCACCAGAGGCCTTCGATGCAGAAACAACTACAACGGGTCTTTGCAGAGGCAGCTCTATTCTTTATTGAGAGCCTATGAACATCTAAAGGAGATCTGGTAGTGCAGCGGTTACGAGTCAGGTTGCTAACCTCAAGGTCAGCAGTTCGAAATTACCAGTTGTTCCACAGGAGAAGGATGAGGCTTTCTGTTCCTATAAAGATTTACAGCCTCAAAAACCCTATATAGGGTCTCTGTGAGTGGGAACTGACTCCATGGTGCATAACCAACCAACCAACTAACCATAAATATCTAGCCACTTCATGTACAATACTTCCAGTTCTTGTAACCCTGTAAGGAGACATTGTCTGCAGTTTATGAATGAGGAAAAGAAAGCTCATAAATGTCAAAACAAGGAGCCCTGATGGCACAGTGGATTAAGCATTGGACTACTAATGGAAAGGTCAGTGGTTCGAACCCACCAGCTGCTCTGAGGGAGAATGATGTGGCAGTCTGCTTGTGTAAAGATTAGCAGCTTCAGAAACCCTAAGGTCTCTCGCTATGAGTTGGAATTCCTCATTGACAGGGTTTTTTTTGTGTTGTGTTTTAAATGTCAAAACTCAGACTAGTAGCTCTAGAATTCAAAATAGTTTTCTAGACAAATTCCATAGCCTCCTTGAACTTAGATTTCACAGGGCAAGTCCAGAAACTAAGGCCTAGAGGGGAAGGTGGTTTACAGAGTGAAAGAAGCCATGGGTTTTTTTGTTTTTTTTAAATACTGTGTTTTAGGTGACAGCTTACACAGCAAATTAGGTTCCCATCTAGCAATTTTTATACACATTGTTCTATGACATTGGCTATGTTTTCCACAATCTACCAATATTCTCATTATTTCCATCCTGTTGGTTTTGTTTCCATTAGTCTAACTTCTCTGTTTCCTTACTGTCACATTGTTGTTTTAGGGTGAATGCTGACCATTTGATCATCTTATATTAATTATGTTGGTCATGTTAGCTGGAATTGATGACTCAATGGCAGTAGGTTTTATAAAACGAAAATTACGTGAATCTATAGTTTGGTGTAGCTTGCAGTTTTTACTAGGAGTCTGTTGTTGTTAGGTGCTATCGAGTTGGTACCGACCCATACCGACCCTATGCACAGCAGAACCAAACACTGCCTGATCCTGGGCCAACCTCACTACTGTTGCCACGCTTGAGTCCGTCGATGCTGCCACTTGGCCAGTCCATATTGTTGGGGGTCTTCCTCTTTTTCTCTGACCCTCCACCTTACCAAACATAATATCCTAGAGTCTAGATGGTGCAAAATGGTTAGGTACTTGACTACTAGCTAGTAAGTTGGCAGCTTGGCTGGACTGCGGGGTCGGTTTGCATAGCAAGGTCAGCAGTTCAGGCTTACCAGCCGCTCCTCAGAAACCCTAAACATGGTTTCTATGAGTCGGAACCGACTCGACAGCACTTAACAATAAGAGGCACCTCAGAAGACAGGACTGACAATGAGTTTCTGGAAGGTCACAGCCTTGGAAACCCTCTGGAGTGGTTCTGCTTTGCACACATGGAGGTGCTATGAGTTATCGACTCTATGGTTAATGAAAATTGATAGTGTTCACTACAGTAAACTCTTCTGTAATAGAATGAAGATACTGCAGGACAAGCCACTGTTTCGTTCATTTGATGCTTACTGAGTACTTTTCTATGTTTGAGGTAGCTTTGGAATAGATACAAGTTTATCAGACGCCACCTCTGCCCTCATGGAGCTTGTCTCTTAGAGTGAAGTTACAAATCAGTCCCTGTCTTCACAGGGTGACCAAGCACAATCTGAGGGGTGTATAGTAGTCCTGTTAATAAATACGTGAACTCTCAAATGTCCCATTGAATCATCTCTCATCTGAAACTCTAAATTTATTTTGTACTCAAAAATTGTTAAACTGTATGTGTTTTGGGAAAGTGAAAATTAAAAATTGAAACCTGATGATGTCACTCAAAACTATAAAGAACATTTTGATAACATGTTTTCTACAGGTTGAATCTGTAATAATTTACGTTTGACCAGTATCGTTTTTGTAAAAAATGAGTAAAATGTGTAGAGTGCTTTCCTAACGAAATTATTATTTTTTTAAAGTCTGGAATGTTTCATGGTTTATTTAAATTATATTTTCTAAAATGCAGATAAAAGAATGTCAGGCTCCTTTGCATTGAAGACCTTAACTGCACTTTCAGATCTCCATCCAAATATGGCAAACGTGGTATGTTCCCCTCTCCCACCCCAGTAGCGTGGTTTGGTTATTCTGTCATGCAGTTTTGTGTGGTGATGTTAGATCAACAGTTCTGATTCATTGACACAACTTGTTTAATTGACAAGCATATGACTCCTCGCTGCATTAATACAGCAGTTAGGTGGTAAGTATCCCCAAGCTATCTTTGTATCTATACAACATGAAAACAAATCCTCCTTTTACCTGTAGGGTCGGAGAGAAGGTTATGGAATATGACTGTCAATTGTTAAAAAAAAAATAGAAAAATTATTTTCATCTTTTTGTTTAAATATTGAGTATCTGCTCAAATACAGCATTATAAAGTCAGCCATTTTCCCTTGTTGCTATTATTGTTAGGTGCCATTGAGTTGGTTTCAACTCATAGTGACTCTTTGCACAACAGAACAAAACATTGCCCAGTCCTGCACCAGCCTCACAATTAAGTTACGCTTGAGCCCATCGCTGCTGCCACTGAGCCATTCCATCTCGTTGGGGGGCTTCCTCTTTTAGGTGACCCTCCACTAATAACAAGCATGATGTCCTTCTCCAGGGATTGGTCCCTCCTGATAACATGTCCAAAGTATGAGTGACAGTCTCACCATCCTGGCTGCTAAGGCGTTCTGGCTGTACCTTTCCAAGATAGAGTTGTTTGTTCTTCTGACAGAAATACCTTCAATATTCTTCTCCAACACCACAACTCAAATGCATCAATTCGTCTACTACAGTCTTCACATGCAAATGAGGCCTTTGAAAATACCATGGCTTGGGCCAGGCCCACTATAGTCCTCAAATCTTTGCTCTTTAGCACTTAAAAGAGGTCTTGTGCAGCAGATCTGCTTAATATGTTAATTGCTTGACTGCTGTGGAAACAAAATGAAGTCTTTGACAACCTCAGTCTTTTCTCCCTTTATCATTATGTTATTTCTATTCCAGTTGTGAGGATTTCTCTTTCTTTACATTAAGGTGCAACCCATTCTGAAGGCTGTGGTCTTTGATTTCATCAGTAAGTATTTTAAGTCCTCTTTGCTATCAGCAAACAAGTTTGTATCATCTGCTAATCTCAGGTTATTAAAGAGTCTTCCTCTTATCCTGATGCCAATGTTCGTTTTCCTATATTCCAGGTTTTTGGATTATTTGTTCAACATACAGATAAAATAAGTATGGTGAAAGTATACAACCCTGGTGCACACCTTTCCTGATTGAAAACCATTCTGTATCCCCGTGTTCTCCTTTAATAATTGCCTCTTGCTCTATGTACAGGTTCCTCATGAGAACAATTAAGTGTTCTGGAACACCCATTCTTCACAGTCATGATCCACATAGTCAAATGCCTTTGTATAGTGAATAAAGCACAAGTAAATATCTTTATGGTAGTCTGTGCTTTCAGCTGAGACCCATATGACATTGGCAGTGGTATCTCTAGTTCTACGTCCTCTTCTGTATCTGCCTTGCATTTCTGGCAGTTTTCTTTCGACACTGTTGTAGCCTTTTTTGAATGTATTTCAGCAAAATTTCACTTATATGTAACAATGATATTGTTTGATGATTTCCACATTTGGTTGTGTCACCTATTTTGGTTGGCCAGGTCTGTATAACAAATTTCTTGGCATAGCTGAGTGAGCATCTCCAGTGTTGCATCAGTTTGTTGAAAGATTTCAGTTTGTATTCCATCAATTCCTGGAGCCTTGTTATTCACCAATCATTCAGTGCAGCTTACACTTTTCCTTCAGTGCTGTTGGTTCTTGATCATATGCTGCCTTTTGAAATGGTTCACCATCAACCATTTCTTTTTGTTACATTGACTCTATGTATACCTTCCATCTTCTTTTGATGATTTCTGCATCTTGCAAGTCAAAACTTGAATATTTTCCTCAGTTCTTTCCGTTGAGAAATGCTGAGCGTGTTCTTCCCTTCTGGTTTTCTAACTCCAGGTCTTTGCACATTTCATTATAGTACTTGATTTTGTCTTCTCGAGATGCCCTTTGAAATTTTCTGTTAACCTTATTTCTTCCATTAACTTTAGCATTTCTATGCTGGATAACAAGTTTCAGAGTTTCTTCTGGCATCATTTTGGTCTTTTCTTTCTTTCCTGTCTTTTTTTTTTTTTTTCATTTAAGGTTTTTATTGTGGATTAACTGAAAGTTTACAGGGCACATCATCAGTTTCACATTCAAACATTCATATAAATTGTTTCATTACATTGATTATAATGCCCTCCATATACCATGAGTTAAAAGTATTTCTCTCTATCCACTTTTTACATCTCCAAAGGGCGCATTCTGCAAGTCTGCTCCTGGCCACTAATTCTTAGTCCTCCTCTTCTTAGTTGATGAATCTAGAGTCCTCAGCCATGCCCCCTCTCAATGCCCCCATCTCTGACTCCATCCCTGGCGCTGCTGCTTCTCTGGATCAGGTCCCGCACTCTGCTTGTGCGTTCCTCTCTTGATAGTCCTAGGGTCCTCTGTTTCTGGACTGTAAGATTAACCACTCCCCTTTTTTTTGTTACAAAACTTCTACCTTTACAAGTGTGGCCATCGTGATTAGTCATGATAACAGTTATTCACTATTGAATCTTACGAATCTTATCCCCATCTCCTTTCACCAGACC